CTCTTTAAAAATACAGAAAGAGACAGGACAACAAAAGGGACACGAGCAACTATTGAGTGAGGCTGCGTGCACCCAAACTTCAGAAAACAGTAGAAAGCATAATCACATGAAAAAAAATGCCCCTTACCATCTATGAATATGAAATGCTTACATTTCAATTTCTTCTTGGCATGGATAAAATTTCCATCACTTAACTGCAGAGCTGCCCAGTAAATAATGCAATGAAACAAAATGTGCAGCATTTGTCAATCGAAAATGTTCTAGTGGGACACCTGTTTCATTTCAAAAGAGCCACTCAGCAAATTAAAAAATGAAAACACAGCACGAACCTAGTAACAAGATACCAAGATACTATGTGAATAACGAGAAAAGTCAAACTCCTGCTTGATGTAGTAGAGCAGTAGTTATATTGAACATCCCAATACGTATTGTGAATGGCATCTGCAATCTATACTAGGCTCTCATTAAACAGAACCTGAAGGGGCCGGAGAAATATGTTTCATTTAACAAGAGTTCCGTTAACTAAGAGATGAACAAGTGCACAAAATACAAGAACAAGACAACTTTGTCAGAAACACTAGTTCCATTTAACAGTAGCTCCGTTTAACAGACAACCGTCAACAGAAAGTCTACTTTATTTTTGTCCTCCACAATCAGTGATGTCAGGCTGTTTTCCAAGAATACAACATCCTGGGTATCTGGAGCATGTGTAGCCTACAAAGAGCAAATGCACAAAACGGTAAAGTATAGTTAAATAGGAATAGCTATACACTACTGTAATTCATTAGATAATGATCAAGCATGCAGTTGCCCACACGTGATAAGTTCTGCTCTAGGAAAAATTCTCCAGACTAATAAATAAAACACAGAATCCACTAGCAAAAGATGGTTGATCTACATGGTGCTGTCTATACCATGTACTCTAATTGTGTTGCCCGCATGCCATTGTGCACTAACAAACAAAGAAGGGAAGGTAAACACTGCAACGAGATGAGGGAGTAACTTCGCATTCTCATTCTGGTGTCTTTGGCAATTGGACTTTCCAAAAAAAAAAGGCCCACACATTAGGACCCGCAGATCGTACATCAAACGTACCGGTGCACTCGCAAGCGCCGCGAAACGTACCAGATCAGCACGGTCGAATAACACCACCTTTTCGTCACCTGCGCAGGAAAAGAGATCGGAACTTGTTAAAACGCAGCCGAAAATTGATCAATATTTGCCAAGAAAAATGCCCTTTCAGGGTTTCGGCGCGGCACAGCATTCGATATAGCAGACGTCCTTCTATGTGCGTGTTTGATGTACTGGTGCACCGGTCCCATACTTTTATATGGGAAAATCAAGGGGATTTCTCAACTGTTCGATATAGCCAATAATTCGATATACCTCAGCTTCATATTTGGGAGCGACTGTATTTATTATTTATTTTATTTTTTATTTTACTTATTTATAAAATACTGCAGGCCCAAACAGGGGCCTAAGCAGGAAGGGCAAAAGGACACAAACAAAGCAAATAAAGGCAGAGAAATCGCATACTCAGCAAAAAAATAACACTGGCATGTGTACAAAAGAAACTGCAGCAAAAATTAAGGCAAAAAATACATAATTTTTTTTAAAGTGGTACATCAAGGTGAAGCAACAAAAGTAGAAACATCAAACAAAAAGTTTTCACAGACTGAAATAGGACCATGTGGTAAAAGCACGCCAGACATATATACACAAAGAGGCATGAGATAAGGCAAGTGACATTGGCTTTTTAAACTAAGTATCAAGGAACAGAAGGATAACATATAATGAAGCTATAAAAATTGGTACATCATGATTAGAAGTTCAAATAGTAACATGTTCTAAGAAATCGTCGTTATGTAACACTAAAATGTGCAAAGTCGAACTGCAATGGCAAATGATCGTACTGCAATCACATTCATGCCATTCTTACTGTGAACTGACCTTTACCAAGTGAGAAAACATACAGCAAAATAAAAGTGATGCCTTACATACTAATCTCCCTTCAACTTTCTCATGATGGTCACAAATGCAGTCCGACTGAGATTTATCAAAAGCTATTCATGATGGTATGCTCTTCACTCGTTTTTAATTTGCTTCTGCCAGTGAGCCCGGTGGTAGTGGCGACAGCCAGGTGTAGTTTGAGCACAGTGATGTTGACATCGTTTATACGAGCAAGCTTCGAAGAGACTCTGTGTCGTATTTCACACGTGTTTTGGTGCTGTCCCGCAAAGAACTATGGGGCTTCAGTAGTTTTGACAGCATGATCCATTTCTCCTCACTTGCATCGTCCACTTGCTCTTTGGATGCACGCCCACTACCACGAGTGATTTCAGTAGCCCTGCTGTCACTGCTCTGCCTCGCCTCTCCTCACGGCACAGAGACTCTCTGCCAGTTCTTCTAAATGAAATTGCCATCAATAAAAATGAAAACGAAATAAGCGGATTCATAAACAGTATTTGGCAAATGGACACCTCGCATGCCGTTGACGAAAATGAGCCATCGTTTTTCGTCAGTTGCTGCCAGACAACGTACGTGGAAGAAGTTCGCGCAAGAGCATGGTGGATCATTTAAAAATCAACAAAAACATTCATCCAAGTAAGCTTACTTTTAAATCTAGCATAGTGAGCTGCTTAAACAGAAGGGTCATAAACCACCCCTAGCACTTGGCATGAAAAACACCTTGCATTAACTCGGACACCATCCAGGAATACATAGCAGGAAGAATTTTTCTAAAACTAAATTAGGACCGACGATTCAGCTATATTTGCATGATGCGATCCAGCTCAACTTGCTTTATTTTGCAAAAGAGCGCAGCATCGTTCAAGATGCCCTGCTCAGTACCCAACATCACCTCGCCTCTATGTTGTGTGATTTCCTTTCTGCATAACACGGCAGAGCTGACAGCTGCTGCTGACAACTCTTAGTTCTGCTCGGCTGGTTCTTTATACTCTGTAGCTGCTGTAGCTGTGCGATCAGGCGCTGCATCTCCACTCAGGGGGAACTGCATGGCACGTTGAGCCAGTGCGGGTCACGCGGGCGAAGCCACTGTAAGCTGCAGTTTTTGTCCCAGATGCAAGCACACGACCACTCGCTTTTCTTTAGCTTTAAACAATACCTGCCTATAGCCCTGCTAACTGCTCATGCTGACTAGGAAGGTCTTTGAGGAAGACGTTTCACAAGAAAGTACCCCGAAATCATATGCAGTTTTGCTCGTTTTACTTGGAAATAAGCAGTGAGGTATGACTGGGAGTCGCCTTCATTTTTGTCGGCTCTCCCTCAAAATGAACACAAAAGGCAGACTTAGTGTAATCCTTGACAGACACCATATGTTGGCAATATAGCTGGCCGATACAATCAGCTTTCCTCATGAGTGCCCGTGTCACAAATACTGGCGCTCGTTACGGGCTACCCTATTGGAAAACAGAGTGGCATTGTTCCAGTGCCATACATAATCATTGGATCAGTGAGGCACAGGGTATTGGGAGGCTGACACACTGCACAACGCACGCTTAACGCTGATGCAGTGCACCCATTTTGGGTCGAAATTGGATTTTTTAAATTACTTTTGAAAGTTCTGGTCAGGGCCAGATTGTAATTCCAACTAAAACACAGGCACTATAGCAAAAAAAAAAATACAACTTGAAAAAAAAAGCTTTGAGTCAGCACACTCTGCTAAGGGAAGCTGACACACTACAGCTACGCTACATTTCAAAGATGGAGGGTGGTGTTTTAATTTATGCCAGAATCCAGTGGCCTGTTTCTTCATCACCAGTGCAAATAGTGCCTTTCAGGTTCGAAGCGAATACCAAGCGGATAGTGATTCTGGTCGAATAAATTTGAATATACTTTGAATAGAGGAGGAAGAATTTTATTTCAAAATGTATACTGAAATTACAAACACTTTTCTATAGTATATATGTATATATCCCATGTTATAAACACAAATGGGCATATTTGTCATGACCTAACTAACCTGCACAATATATGAAAAAAATTGAAACAAGGCTTGCGCAAATGACATTTTTCTGCACCAAGGAAAGTAGAAACAACGTTGAATAGTAGAAGAATTTTACTTTCACTAGAATGCAATATATAGGCTGTAAAATACGTTACTTTTTAAAATTTGTTATACTTAGGGCATATAAGTCGGTATAACAAGCTTTTGAACATGAAAAATGAATCAATATGAGAGTAATAGTCTCGTTTAACTTTGAGGTGAGGCTTCGCGGCAGTGCAGATTTTTTTTGGATTTGTGTTTTTGCGACTTAACACGGCTTCACTGCAGTGAAACCACTTTCACAAAAGGATTACATAAAAACTAATATAACATAAACAAATTCTTTCACGGCTTTGCACCACTCTACTGCAGTGAAACCACCTTTACTTGATAAAACATGTGGATTCGCATATGCACTTACTCGTTCGTTTCGAATAATTCGAAATGTTGAATAATTTAAACTCAATTCAAAGCGAATTCAAATACTGCATTATTCGTTTGAATATTCGAAGCATTCGAATACTCACACAAGCCTATTGTTTAGAAGTGGAGATACCTGTCTCTCAGCGCTCACGACAACCTACCAGAAGACTGTCAATTCGTCTGTTATATGTTTCCCAGGATCAGAACGTCCACCTATCTTGTTTTATCGAAAAGCATGAGCAGATATGAATGCAGCTGGTGCCATCCTGCATTGGCAAATGTTGCAAGAAAAAATTACATGATGCCTTCATGCTTTTATTTGAATGCCCGTGAGCTAGTATTCGTGATCAGCTTAAGCTCAGCTTTTTGCCTCAAAGGAACGTGGTTGGATAGCGGTATAGGTTTCTTAAGATAAAATAACGTAATTACCAAGTCTTATTTGTCGATGACAGCATTAAAGAGCATTTCAACATGACATTGTCGGGGCGCTGACGGCTGCAAGCAAGAACAGAGGAAAAGGAAGGGCAGCCTGTTGCGCACTCCTCAATGGCACACTAGCGCTTACCAGGACTGCTGGCAGTCTGGGCATGGGTTCCGACTAGTAAAGGTGTCTGCTCTGGTTAGCCTCCATGTTTTCTCTCAGGGCTCCCGCAGACCGATGGCCCTGCACAACATTCAAAATTCAGAATTCACAGACAAAAACGTGCTTAATATTGGGCCAGAAATTTACACCAAGCCCTTGAACAAACCAAGGTTCTTGAATTCTAAAGAAAAAAATGCTTAAGGGGAGCTGTCCCTCTCATCAGCTGCTGCATCCAGCCTTTCTGATTGACCTGTCGTGAAAGCCACAAATAATTGTAATGTCCAAAACAGAGAGCAGCATCAGCGAGGAGGAAAAATGAAGAATATTGAATGTTTAGAGAACAGTTAACAATAGTTTATCAGTCCCAGATTCCTATTTTACATTTGGCGCAGCCCAACAGGTTGTGGATTCAAGTTTGAGTTGCTACTACTGTAAAAAGAAAACCGTACCTCACGTCATACTATACAAGGCTGAAGATGAACAACAGGTTGAACTCCTAGAGTCAGCAACATCAGCAAGCCTTTTGCAGTGCATTGCAAGCAAGGCAAATGTCACCGAGGCAAATCACATCAGCCATGGCAAGATGTCCGACTAATATAAGCACTTCAGACATATAACTTGTGACAAGCCATTTTCAAGTGATGCTAACCAACCCGTTGCAGTGCTTGTGGAGCAAGTGTTGCAAGGGCAAGCTTTACAAGACTGAGCAACACGCACGATTGCTTGATATGTTAAGGGAGACTCTAAGTGCTAACACTGCTTCCAAGAATGACTTCGTTGCGAGAGAGGAAGACGGGACGGCGGCCAACGTGGTCGTGTCGTTCTCTCGCCACTTTATTATCCAGGGCGATTGCCGAAGCGGAGCGGCGGCGGCTGCCACGTCCGAACCCCAGGCCAGAAGCTCGTTCTCCACAGCTCGCGCCTCGAGCTGTCGCATCAGCTGCACGAGAGGTGCAGCGCGGTGGCTAGAAAAATGACGATGATGATGAATGGCGATCATGATGACGCTACAGATTACTCCCCGCCGCAGAAATGAAGCCGGAATGAAAATAATGAGAGCGTATATACAAGCGATTTAGGTTTGCAAAACGAAACGGGGTCCGTGAGCAGTCCAGGTCGTCAACTGGACGGGACAATCGGCAACCTGTGGGTCTCTGGCGGGCGACACTGGGAATGGCGCAGCGGACGAGGGTGGCTACGCAGGCACGCTGTTGGAAGGAGCGGGCGAGGGTCGTGATGAAGGGACACTTTTGCCGATAGCGAGTACCAACGACAAGGTTAAAAATGGTCAAGGGCCGAGAACACACACGGGTTGTTTCGGTGCGGTCGATTGTCGCGCACACTCGGCCACTGATGCTTAAAAGATGGACTGTAGCATGAGCGTAGTACGGCCAGTCCAGAAAGAAGGTCTAGTGTTACTTTTTTGTTGGAGCTGGTGGGAAGGTCGACAGGTAGTGCGGTCAATCCTGGTAGTGTGTTTACCGTGCTGCTACCGTCGATTCCGGTGGCACATTACCGGCTGCGGCGGCCGCCTGGTCGGCCGAGTAGGGTGCAGATAAGTTGGAAACGGTGCGCTTTGGACCGATGAAGTGCGACATGGTTTACAGTGATAACGAGCCGGCTCAGAGGGCAATGATATATTGCTTTTTCCGACCTTTGACGACGTGTAACGCGTAGGCGTACGCCGATGAGTCGTCGCGTTGTTCGAGCTAGAACCGACATTTGGTGATGCGAGATCGAGCGGCGGGTATGTGGCGTCACAGTTGTCATGGGCCGTCGACGGCGTTGAAATGCTCAAGCACGCATACGTAATGGTAGTCGGATGGTTAAACTGCGCATCTGCTGGGGCATGCACGGTGTGCTCCACCTGTGGTGAGCCAGGCGTGCGGCCCTCGGGATTTCCTGACATCGTCACTGCCTCATGCACGTTTAGCCGTGCCTGCTCAGGGGCTTGAACTTCTGTAGGATACATCGAGTATGATGTTAGTAGGTGCTGGCAGTCCACAAGGTTTTGAGCAGCAGGCACCGGTGTGAAGGGGAAAATGATGGCGTGCAGTGTCACAGCGGGCTCTGGGTCCATAGTGGGAGTGGTGTCGTGGGCCTCTGCAGGTGCCAGGACAGGCGGGGAGTCTGCAGAAAGGTCAGCTGGCACAGCTGAGGTCGTCGAATCGCCCGGGACAGACAATTCAGCCGACCAAGTCCCTGCAGCGAATGCGACGGTGCACGGGGTAGCGGCCGGTGTCGAATTTATGTGGCCAGTTGCCGGCAGGGGAATGGTCTGGACTGGCTGTGGGGCGAGAGGCGCCCTGGAAGGTGATGAGCCAGGTGCAGTTGTGTCATTTTTGGGAGGAGGAGCATGTTTCAGGCCGTAAAACTTGAGCACGGCATCTCGCAAGTGATCATACGGGCGAGGGCTCCAGGAGAAGTATGTGAGGTGGTGTTTGAGGTCATGTGGAAGATGGTATTCCAATACCTCGTACATGAGCTCTTGGATCCAGATGCCGTTGTAATACAAGGCCGCCGCAAACCTCTCAAACCACGACTCTAGGCGAGAGGTCCGGAACGGGGGCAGTGGCGGGTCGAATTGAGGCTGCCAGGCTTGTGCTGACTGGAGCATGGCCGCGTAGCTCGGTGGCAATAGTGCAGCGCCGGTCGCTCGGCGAAGGGCGTGTTCTCCGGGTCACCAATGTAGCGAGAGAGGAAGTAGAGACGGCGGCCAACGTGGTCGTGTCGTTCTCTCGCCACTTTATTATCCAGGGCGATTGCCGAAGCGGAGCGGCGGGGGCTGCCACGTCCGAACCCCAGGCCAGAAGCTCGTTCTCCACAGATCGCGCCTCGAGCTGGACATGTTCGATGGAACGTCCTCGCCTGCCACTATTTGGTTGAAATTCTTCTAGCACGCTTGTGAGAGGAATAGCCAGATGACATCACAAGAAAAAGTACAGAAAATGAGATTGTTCTTTACTTATAATGCCAAGAAGTGGTATGAGCTCTGAATAGTATTACCTAAACCATTTAAACGGTTCTTGGGATCAGTGAAAAGCAAGTTTCATCTCGGCTTTTGACCAATACCTTGTCGACCTGTGGGACAGAGCTATATTTTTTAAACTGCCTTAGGGTTTAGTGAGGGTTTACTTCTACGAGAAGAGACTGCTGTCACAATTAGCAAACCCTGAGCTGCCTGAATAATCTGTTGTACCTTCACTCATCCATGGTATGACAAAGAAGTACCAAAGGCAAGAGTAAGTAAGATCACCCAATACGGCTGAAGACCTATTGGAATGTCATAGGGACGTTTGCTATGAACCCTCTGGGCACACTGCACAGCATAATTGGACCTATTTAAGAACACTTCCTGTAGATAATGATGTCCGCCTCGTGATGCAGACCTCCATTAATTGATAAGTGGTGATTAATGTCCCAAACCACCATATTATTATGAGAGACACCGTAGTGGAGGGCTCAGGAAATTTAGACCACCTCGGGTTCTTTAACGTGCACCCAAATCTGAGCACACGGGACTCAGACCTACAGGAGACAAAAAACAGATAAGTGTGGATGAACAACCTCACCCGTGTAATCAAGACAAGGCTGTCTGCTAGATTCGGTCAAATGTTTTACAAACTGTGCTGATTATAAATGGAAGAAAAGTAAGTGCATTATTTTACACAGGAGTTTCCGTGACCCTGTTTAATGAAATCATGAAGAGGCTACAGGAGATGCGACGAGGTAAAATGGTAGCAGTTAAGAGCTATGATGGATCATCTCAAACACTGCATACCTGGACAAGACTTAATGTACATTTCACTGGGGAAGATTTCATAATAGAAGAACTTGTTGCAAGTGGTTGTTGCAAGCACGAACTGCATGAAGTTGAAGATTGAAAACCAGTGGGGATTGAGGCTTGCCCATTGCCATTGTGTGGGTTTTCTCCCATCCCACGCGTCTGATCATCTCCTTGTGATGTGATTGTGCCCGTTTGAAAAGTGCGCCACACCATCAGCCTCAAACAAAGAGGTCGATAAAGATGACGATCGGTTGTGGCACGTGTGGGCGTGAACATTTTGGGCCGATATGGTGTCTCCAAGGAGATTTAGGAGAGCCACGGCAGAAGAACTGCGAAGCCAAGCAGACGTGGCTGAGTCGGGACCGAGTGAAGAAGGTGGCCAGGGTGCGGGAGTGGCGGCCAGCAGAGCTCCTGCATCAAAATCCCAGCGGGCTCCCACCTCAGGGTGTCTAGCAAATTATTATTTTGAGATTCCCCGACTTTTCCAGGTTTTCTCTGACAATTTCAAGTGAAATTCCCTGACCTCTGCATAGGCGGCAATACATGTAAGATCATTAGTGCAGACGACAAAACATTGTTTTATTTAGAGCGCAAACATAAATAATTCACCGCAAATTGTAGTCGCTGACTAAAGTATTATTGCACAAAGTCTATGTAAACACACATCGGCTTCTGCTGTTTGTGTCAACCACTGCACAAGAGTTCTTGAAGCACTCATCTGTTACTTCTTAAGAGCATCTATTTTTTCTTGCAGGAGACTAGCTTCCGTCAGCGAGTCACTAAGCAGCCTTCGCTTCTTTTCTTCCAGTTCTTTGACAAGAGCAGCCACTCTTTTCTTGTTCTTCTGAACACCTGACTCCACTCGTCTTTCTGCCTTCTTTTTCTGCAGTTCCTCTCTGAAGACGCTGTAGGAATTCCGAACCATCTGCTGCATCTTGTCAGTAATTAGAACTTTTTCCACGTCGCCTGCCGCCAACACGGCATCATGCACCAGTCGTTGTGCTATCAGCGAGTCTTCTTTCAAGTTTTTGACGAGGCATTCTTTGTTGACCGAGAAGCCTCTTTCTACGGCAGCGTTGCCGTGAGACAAACAGAGGATGATCTTGATAAAAGACAGCAGCTCTTTGTGATTATGTGAGCAGAGATCTGGCCACAGAACATCCAGCCTCTGCTCTTTCCTGTCAAAATTTTTCAATTTTTTTTTGTTGAGGCTCGATGAACAGACCTCTATGTAAGAACGATGGGCCCGCTCTGCTTGCAGACCAGTGATCCACTGCTGCTCTGACAGCACTTG